TACAATCATTTGTTTAATGTTCATTCAAAGTTACAACACTGAAAAAAAGTGACCTATGACCTGTTCCCACACTTATGACTGTTGAGGCATCACATGATCAAACTTTGGGCATCTGCAACATGGTTCCAGCATCCCGGGGTCCTGGAATTATCATTTGCAACCTTCTTAGGGAGCTTCTGACAAGCAAAATTAATGGGGGAAGCCAGATTTGCTTAACAATTCACTTAACAACTATAGTGACTCTCTTAGCAACCATGTCAAAAAAAGATTGCAAAATGAGGAAAAACTCACTTATCAACTGCCTTGGGGCTCAGTTATGATTGTAAGTCAAGGACAACCTGTATCCAATTATAAGTTACAGAGATACTGTATGAAATCTACTATAAAGCTTATAATGGCACAGATTGTCTATGTAAGATAACACACTGTCAGTTACATCCCTTAATCCTCTGGCTTTTTATCATTATGCTCTCCATTTGCTAATGCTCTTCTATTAAAGTTAGTTTCATGTAGAGACAAATAATGGAGGACCAATCAGTTATTTCTTTCAGTTTCTCATTTCTGTAAGTCAGTCAGTTATCTAAATTCTTTATTTTCTCATTTATACAGTGAGACATCCCATCCCATTTAGCAATTTGAGATTTGAACAAAGTTTCATACTAGCATTTGGGGCATTTTTATTCCAAATATTTTATTATATTTTATTTGGGATTGTGCTAAAGCTGCAAACAAATCTATGCATTTGGCACAGTTTCGTGTACTTACACATTTTTTAACATATTTTTCTGGTAAAAAAGGTTTTCTTAATTTTTTGGTTTGCAAAGTACATTGCAAAATGTGGAGTATTAGTATATGTTAAGAATGAATGAAGACCTTCCTATATGGTCTGGCTTTTCTAAATAATAAGGCCTATATATTGGCAGTTAGAGCTAGATGAAATCCCACTTTCAGTAACGTCAGAAGATCTTTAGTTCAGAGGAAGACAAGGAGTGTATAAAGTCACTGTCAATTCATTGCAAAAATGAATGTTTGATTGTAGGAGTTACCTAAAGATAAAGGTAAAGGTTCCCCTCGCACATATGTCCTAGTCATTCCCGACTCTAGGGGGCAGTGCTCATCTCTGTTTCAAAGTCGAAGAGCCAATGCTGTCCGAAGACATTCTCCATGGTCATGTGGCCGGCATGACTAAACACCGAAGGTGCACGAAGCTCTGTTACCTTCCCACCAAAGTGGTCCCTATTTTTCCACTTGCATTTCTATGTGCTTTCCAACTGCTAGATTGGCAGAAGCTGGGACAAGTAACGGGAGCTCACTCCATTATGCGGCGCTAGGGATTCAAACGGCTGAACTGCCAACTTTTCTGATGAACAAGCTCAGTGTCTTAGCCACTGAGCCACCGCGTCCCTTTCATAACTGTATTGGTTCCCAAAATCTCAGTTTTTCTTGTGGGGAATTAATTAATTTATCTCCCACTTCTATTTTAAGGCTATACAATTTGTCTATAAAATACTTTTCTAGGTAGGAATTTTATCATATCCTCTATCTATCATCTATCTATCTATCTATCTATCTATCTATCTATCTATCTATCTATCTATTCCCTTCTTGTTTTACCCCCCCCCCTTGGGTTTGTTAGCTGCCCTGAGTCCCTCCGGGAATAGGGCGGCATATAAATACAATAAACCTTCAAACCTATCTATCTATCTATCTATCTATCTATCTATCTATCATCTATCTACCTGCATTTAAATCACTGCACATGTATACTTAAGACTGTATACCAATCTTCCCATCTCTATGGGAATTATGGAAGATAAAATCTAACATGAAGTTTGGAAGGCTAATATATACATATACATAAGACAAAATATGTTTAAATTAGACTTGTTTTGATTTAATCTTATTATTCAAGTACAAGGAGGATCTGGAGAACATATACTGGTAGTCCTTGACTTATGACCACAACTGAGCCCAAAATTTCTGTTGTTAAGTGAGACATTTAAGCGAGTTTTGTCCCATTTTTTATCTTTCTTGCCTCAGTTGTTAAGTGACTCACTGCAGTTGGTAAGTTAGTAACCTGATTGTTAAGTGAATTTGCCTTCCCCATTGACTTTGCTTGTCAGAAGGTCGCAAAAGGTGATCATAATAGTCATTAATATGAACTAGTTGCCAAGCATCTGAATTTTGATCACAAGATCATGGGGCTGCTGGAAATGTCATAACTGTGGGAAATGGTCATAAGTCCATTTTTTTCAGTGCCTTTGTAACTTTGAACAGTCACTAACTGAACTGTTGTAAGTGGAGGATTACTGTTACAGAACACAGTAAGCATTTACTTTATTATATATATTTTGCATATTATTTATATGACTCTATATTGCAATTTCATTTAGGGATATACAGTATCTTCCTGCATACTACAAATAATGTTATGGCTGTAATGCAACTAGATGTCCTTTATCCCCCTTTCCCCCCCAATAAAAATACACTTTTTACAATGCATGTTGGAAAGCAAAGGATTCTTTCATGTAAATTAAAATATTTTTTAAAAGATATTCAGCGAGAACAGAAAAAGCAGATTATATGATTTCTTGATTTAACAGGAAAATGTTTGTAATATACCTGATCCTAAGAATAAAAACAATTGGAATATACTCACATAACCCAAACAACCGTCTACAATGTTCACTGTTTTTCAAAAAATAATTTAAACTTTCCTGAAGTTAGGCTCTTAGAATCCATGGAACTGTATGCGTAGTTCATACCTTCCAAGCAAATAAAAAGCAGTTTCTGGCACAAGATGTAAAACGTAACCCAAAAGCGTGAAATATAAACCCAGCCACTTCAGTTTATAAATCATGGTTTATGGTTTACCATGCTGCAAAAACCCAACCAACCATTTGGATTACACTCAACAGGACACACCAAAAAAGAACCCTGTAAATTAATAAAATGTACAAACCCAGACACAGTAGTTGGAAGCAACAGATGCCAAGATATGAATAACTTTCAAATTCAGCTGGAACTCATGGAGAGATATTTCCATGCAAGTGTGTTTATTTATTTGCTTTTATTTAACAGATTTATATACCTGCCCAGTGCCCACCTTATGCAATATAAGCCTGGGCAGCTCACAAACAACAATGAAGATAGTAAAAACAAATTAAAAATCACAGAAAATGCTTAGGGACCCTAACTTCGCCACATCTCCCCTTCTAGGCTCCAGATTCACACTACCTCAATGTTGGGGGGGGGGGAGAGAGAGCTAGGACTTTTCAGAAGGCTAGAAGCCCCATCGGATCTTGTGGGGAAGGTATTCCGAAGAGTAGGGTCAGCTACCAGGAAGGCACAGTTATCTAGATCCCACTAGAGGGCAACATTTGAAGGAAGGGATTTGAAGCACACCCACCCTATCAGACCTAGTGAGTCGGTAGGAGAAATGATCCTACAGACAACCTAGTTTTGTGAAAATCAGGACTTTAAAGGTGCTAACCAGTATCCTGAATCACACCCAGAAAGAAACTATAAGCCCGTGACGTAAACCTATGGCACATGTGCCTGAAGTAGCACACGGAGCCATGTCGCCTGGCATGTGCGGTGTCACCTGTTTGTCTTCCGGGTTTCATGTGAGCATGCGCTTGCAACAATCAGCTGGCCTTCAGCATGCGGCAGTGCCGGAAACTGAAACAGCTGATCTTCCGTTTTCCAGCATGAGCATGCGTGCCAGCCACCTGATCGTCACACATGCATGCGTGCCAGGAACCGGAAGATTAGCTGGCTGGCATGCATTCACGCACCAGAAACCGGAAGTTCATTTTCCCACGCACGGATGCCCCCTGGGCAGCTCCTCTTCCNGTTTAGTTTTTCAAGCTTTTAGACTCATGCTGGAGTCCATCCTCAGGGAACTTCTCTCTAGCAGTGTGTGTGCTTTGGCCCATTCTGTGTGTGGTATTTATATGGTGCCTGTTGTGTGTGACTTTTTAGTTGTTGATTGGGGTGTTAATAGCAAGGTTCTGTCTAATACACTAAGGCAGAAGCTCGTCCACCCCAAGGATAACAAATTGAGCAATGTGATATAAGCAATACAATACAGTGAGACATTGTATATTGGAGAAACAAAACAACCACTTCACAAACACATGGCACAACATGGCCATCACGACAAGATTCAGCAGTCCATCTGTTTTAGAAAGGCAAAGGTCACTCTTTGGACAATAGCAAAGTCCACATTCTGGACAGAAAGGACTGCTGGTTTGAAAGTGGGGTCAAAGAGGCCATTTACATTAAGATTAACAGTTAACTCATCAGAGTGGGAGGAAAATGACACCACCTATCTCCTGTTTACAACACAATTCTTCCAGCAGTTCCAAGAAGGTTCCACACCCATTTGCATTATTCAGGTGACCTTGAGGGCACAGATAGACCTCCAAGTGCCTCAATGACTCTCCAAAAAAGTGCCAATGACCAGATGATTGCAAAGAACATAAATCCTTTCATCCTCCACCATTCAGTCAGAATTGAAGAAACTTCTTGGATGAGAAGTGAAATATCTTCAAGGAAAAACAAAGTCCAGTTGCCTTTTGAAAAAAATCACCTTTGGGACACCCAAAAGCCTAGCTCTCCCCAAATGTACTATGTTATACAAACCTGCTATAATTATGAAAGCTTGTATTTAGCTCCCACTTATAGGGAGGGAGGGAGGGAGGGAGGAAAGAAGGCATTGTGAACTTTCCTTTTCACAATTCACAAACACTTCCTGAGTCATTAGAGCCTCAAATTTTCTGGGCCAATTACCACAAAGCCATGTTAATTGTTTGTATAGTCTATCAGGTATCTTCATAAAATATGTCTGCATGTACAGGTAACAATGCAAAATATAAATGTCAGACACTGCTTCAACCACAATTGTTTATGGATTAAGACATTTCCCACAATTTATGATATTGGTTAAGTGTGTAAGAGAAAGTCTAAAAGTTTGAAAATCATACTAAAAATCTTACTTGGGTAAATGATCCATCCTCATGACACTCTGGAACAAAGACCGCTTCTTGTGGCTTCTTCACTTGATCCAGTGCTTGGGTTCTTTCTAATCTGCATTTGCTCTGACCAGCATCTAGGAAGAAAATCCATTCAGAATTTAAATAAAGATAAGCATTATGTCAAAAGCATATGACATTTCAATGAAAATAACTGCAAAAGAAAAACTTAAACAGTCCTGCTTTGCTGAACATTTATTTATGTACAGAGCCTCCAAGATATTTTTTATTATTAGCCCATTGGCATGTCAAATAATCAGGGATTATAACAGTAGACCTAGGTCCCAAAGATGCTTTTTCAAGAGGCAACTTTAAAAGAATGCTCATAACCATCTGTCTGCAAGGAATATAAATTCTTCCATTCACCACCATCCACCATTTAAATATTGAGTTAAGTCTTGGAGTCTGTGGCCATGGTACGTGGCCAAAAAAGGAATTTCAAGGGGGTAAAGAAAAGGTTGAGTTCTAAGCTATTCAGGTGTTCTTCATCTCTCAACCGTAACCTTTCCAGAAAATAACACATTACAAATTCTACCAATTAGAAGACTGTGAAATATTAAGAATGGTATCTTAATTCCCAATGTTAATCTTAATTCCCTAGCGCTGCGTAACAGAGTGAGCACCTTTTACTTGTCCCAGCTTCTGCCAACCTAGCAGTTCGAAAGCATATAAAAATGTAAGTAGAAAAAATAGGAACCACCTTGGTGGGAAGGAAACAGCGTTCCGTGCGCCTTCGGCATTTAGTCATGCTGACCACATGACCACAGAATTGACATCAGACCGCACTGGCTTTTTGGCTTAGAAACGGAGATGAGCACTGCCCCTTAAAGTCGGGAACAACTAGCACATATGTGTGAGGGGAACCTTTATCTCTACCTTACGTTTATCTTAATTCCCAATGTTTGTTATGATCATCATGATGCTCTGATATTACATCATTAATTTGATTTGAAAATGACAGCTGTTTCTGTGGTACATTAGTTTGCAGCCCTCAAAAAAGCCTCATATTCTGCCGGTCATTATTTTAATCCTTTACTCTCTATTAACATACCGTCTCCTCTCCAGGTCCTTTTATTTGCCAAAGATCTCTGAATAATTCTTTTTAGGCAAACACGTATTTCCAATTTATCTTTCTAGCTTAAACAGTATCAAATTGAGTTATGAAATAATACACTCAATATTTCTATCCCAGATGAACAGAAGTGCCTTTTTTAAATTTCTTACCTTTACATCTGCCTCGATGTGCCACATTCAGATTGGAATCCTTGCACTTTGCCCTCTGATAATCACACATGGATTCATAGGTCCTGCCATCCGAAGCACAGAGAGGCTTGGCAGCAGATCTGGAGCACTGAAGGTTACATTGAGGGTCTTGGTCGTGGTCACTTATTAAAAACTATAGATAGCAGAATAGGTGAAAAATATTTCTTTAAGTATTTGCATATAAATATATTGAATACAGCGTGATTGTCCTGGCATTTCACTTGCCATGAAAACCAATGTGAAAAACAAATAACATATATACTATTTACACAGTGCTCGCATTGTACAGTTATTTTTGACCATCAAATTCATTCTAATACACCACTGCATATGAAATATCTCTTTTCAAATCCACCTAACCATTTTTTCCATATTCCAACTTCTGCCTCATGCTTCTAACCATTGGTAGAATCTGTTCCATGTGTCATAATATTCTGTCTCTCCTTTGTCTTTTATTTTTAATGTTAGTCTATCCATTTCTGCACAGACTAAAATCTTTCTTATCATCTCCTCTGAAGGGGTGTTTTCACTCTTCCACTGCTGCATGTACACCATTCTTGTGGCGGTCAAGGTGTGTAGCATTAAGTATATTGTCCCTTTATCATAGCCATCTGGTATAATGCCTAATAGAAGTAATTCTGGCTTGAACTATATACGTTGTCTAACCATTTTTTCTAATCAAATATAAATTTGTATCCAAAATTTCCTTGCTTTTTTACAGGTCCACCACATGTGGTAGTACCTGGAATTTGCTTACATTTCCAACAGTTTGGGGACATATTGCTAAACATTTTAGCTAATCTTGCTGGGGGGAGGTGCCCCCTATAGGATATTTTATAAAGATTTCCCTTATATGATGTGGCCAGTGTCAATTTCTGATTTCTCTCCCAACGTTTTTGCCATTTTTCTGCCATTTTTAAAATAATTATAGATTTTTTTAAGTACAGTGAATTTGAATGCATCTTATGTTAAATATTATATTATAATTATCAACTACATTATATTGGCCACTGCTTTGACAGTCTTTCGTAAGGCCCTGAACACATGGTTTTGCCAGCAGGCCTGAGGAACCCAGAGTGTAATGGAGCCCATCAAATGGCTCATTTAATTGTGTGCTGTCGCTAGGATGGGTGGATGGGAGTTTATTGTTGTTGTTTTCTATTTTGGGTTTTTACTGTTTGTAAGCCACCTAGAGTTGCTGTGAGCGAGTAGGTGGCCATATAAATATTATAAATAACATAAATAGTATATAGTATAATTTTACAGAAAAAAATTGAATAGAATAAAAGATAGTACAAACCAGAAGAGAAAAAAGAACGCAAGAGAAAAAAGAAAATGTGGCCATTTATATTATTAACTAATATACTTTTATATGTTCTCCATCCTCAGTAATAACTCTAGGCCAGTAAACTGAGGTAAGCACAGAGGTGGGATTCACTTACCTTCTCTACTGGTTTGAAAATGTGAATGCGCTTGCATGCACGCACCTTGTCTGTACATGTGCACCACCTTCTGCGCATGTGCAGTGCTCACGCATTACATTGGGATGGGTGAGCACCGGGTGGAACCTCCTGCAGCCGCCGCTACGGTTCGCCCAAACCGGAGAGAACCGGCTGAAAACCACCTCTGGGTAAGCACCACAGCTTGTAATAGCAACAGAAGGCTAATTTCAAAAGCAAATTCCCTCACCAAATCAAAACAATATCAACATTTTTGTTCTTTTCTCTATGAGGGATCCTTGGCATTCTGAGTTTGGTTGCACAGTTAATGTTACCTACTATGAAGTATGAAGTATCTGTAAAAAAAGCAACCAAGCTCAGAGAGTACCAAAGACCATTATTTCAACACTGAGCTATAAATATTCTCCTCTATCCACTATTATTGTTTCATTGGGAATATTTAAATTATCTAAAACTGTTACATACTTTTTGAGTGTAAAGTGGCTAAAAATGGTGCTTAACTGTTCCAAGATCATTGGCGTGATTTTTTAGATGTTGAAATTTGTCTATCTGTAATATCCACTTTTGACAAGTTAGACTAAACATCTTTTTTCACTTTAGTCATTTTGGAAACATTTTGATGGACAGAATTAAAAACTGACTATACTGCATGTCAATCAGTTTCTGTGGAGAAAGTCTCCTGCAACAGCGGAGAGAAGGCATGCAAAGTTCACACTTCGTATGATTCTTATTCTGCGTATTCGTTTGCTATTTCTAATCTCAAGATTTTACAAATTGCCAACAAATATTGGCCAGGGCACTTTCTTTTTCTTTAAATAGAATCTCTTGTAAACCTGTCAGCACATCACATTTCAAAAGATTAGATATTTTTGCAGCTTCATAAAAGTGTTGCAGTTATCTGTAGCCAGACTAAGAAAATAAACTGTACTTCCTTAAATTAGAAACTGGGCCTACTTATCCAAGCATCTATAGCACAGCAAAATTCTAAATGTTTTATAACAGCAGAAAACTTTTTTCTACAAATTTAATTCCTTGATTGGATAGAAATGCATGTTGGAAATCTGACCCTAGGTCTTTGGCTTGGCTCAAGTCACCTACTGTACGTACAAATAATGTCCTACATTCTGGTAGAATTGTGCAATATTTTGGATTTTATTTCAAAAGGATTCTTGAGGACGTATGAGGGAATAACAGGACCTGTTTAAAAGGCTGTACTGTTTTTTAAATTTCTGCATGGTTCTTTAATTCTGAATACAACTTTGAAAAAAATGAAATTGCCAATTAAAGATGTGGCCCTTGGTATTTTAAACCTTGAATTATATCACTAATATATGCCTTCTGGTATCAAATTCTGAACATTTTAATTTATTGTGAATTTCTCCTTCCTGGACCCTTTGAGAAGATTTGTAAAGGTAGTCCTCAGATTACAACTTCAAGTAAGACTGCCTAGATTGCTGTTACTAAGCAATGTTGTTCATATATGTTCCCTTTTTCTACATTTTTCTTCTCTCTCTCTCCTTTTATTAAATAAATAAAGCTAAAAGTTGCAGATAACAACTTGTTGACATACTTCAATAGCAGCCTCACACTTGAATGAACAATCATAACAAGAAAGAAGAACGGAGTGAAACAGGCCAAACAATGGAGGAAAGTGTCAATTGGCAGAGATGAGGTTCAAATTTTAAACATGGTATGTTATGAGACAAGGAGAAATATTCTTTAAAAAATATGTTGGCCTGTAGCCAACACAAGTTTAAGAATAGCTTTTATATCCTGTTTCCCTGGATAATAAGCCCAATTGGGCTTTTGAGCGCATGCGCTCAAAGAAGCCCTCACCAAAAATAAGCCCTCCCTGAAAATATTGCAACATAGCAGCAGCCATGAAGTGATCATGCTCGCCATCTCCTTCACCTCAAAAATAATAACACCTCCCCAAAAATAAGGCCAAGCGCTTATTTCGGGGGTCAAAAGAAAATAACACCCTGTCTTATTTTGGGGAAAATACGGTAGATAGTCCCAAAATTGCAAATTTCATGATGCTTCAATTTAGTATATGGGATACAATTGCATGGGAAACTCTCTTTAAGTAAAAGAAGCCTTCTCAACACTTAAAATTAGTTTTTCAATAGAAGCCTGAGCAAAGAATTGTTTTGACACCAAAAATATAACACACTCGCCAATGCACTCACATAAGGTTATTGTAACTGAATATCTCCTGCTAGATAATAACCTTAATACCGGATTTTACAATTGTTCACTTTCTATTCAAAGTGCACCAGTCCTTGGGTGGCAGTTAGGGGAGAGGAACTCTTTGGGAAATCTTCCAAGATAACAGCTGCCCTTAAACTCCTTCCTTTTCAACATGCATTTACACAGGTGCATATTTATGGCCACTTTCCAGACTAATTCCAGCCTCCTTTGACCTGGGAAGAGAGCAAATGCAAGATAAGAGAGGTCAGCCTAAAGTTAAATATGCCCCCCAAGTCCATCTGCTCCATCTTTCCACACCTCAGCACCATTGCTGACAACAACAACAAACACTGATTAAAGAACTTCAAATGACTATGAGAAAAGAGCAGATTACTTGCAGCTGTTCAACAGCTGGAACCACTTTTAAGAATTTGACTCAGGATGGATCCGTCCCCATAAAGAAGAGATGTTTAGCAGTTCCTACCCATGCACATCATAACATACAACTAAGGAGCATATGTGAGCTTTTGTGAAATTATAATCAGGTGCCCCAAAGCCTCTGCATTACAGCAGAAGCAAGTATGGATCAATCCCTACCATTCAAGAAGGAAAGAGGATGTGTTGGATTAAAACAAAACAAAAGAACCATGTTTGGAGAAAGAAAATAGAAGAAAAGCAGAATGTTTTAGTATTCCTCTTCAGTATTTAAAAACAGAAAATTTATTGCCACAATCTCCTTTGCATCTGTACCTTACTGCTTCACCATCATAAACCTGAGTGAGTTGTGTGCCTATTCCTTAATAAAAGGAAATATGTTCGTCTAGGTCAGTATTTCTCAACCTTGGCAACTTTAAGATGTAGATTTCAACTCCCAGAATTCCCCAGCCAAGAATTGACCTGATGTAGCTGCCAACACTAAAACTTTTCCTAATTTGGAGCCATTCTGTTTTATTTTAGTAAAATGATTAATAGAAAGGGAAAATTGGATGAATACAGATAGAACAGTTTGCTGTACTGTTTAGAAACAAAAATATAACTATTTATTGTTCAGTTTAAAGTCCTCTGAAGCTTGCATTTCTTTAACTTGAATAAAACATATCAGTTGATAAAATAATACTGCAAACTACTCTACATACATTTTAGTTTTAGCGAAGTCTCCAATAGATACCATAATCTTTTAGAAAGGCTTTATTAATATTTTGTTAGGAGCCATATTTGCTTGGGTAAATAGAATCTATCCCTCCAAGAAATTTAACAAAAGAAAATACCTTAAAATTAAAATATCTTAACGTAAGATAATGTTCATTTGCTTTGTTAAAGTTTTTGCAGTGATAGATTCCATTGAGCCATAACAAGCCTCAGGATAAATTAAGTTAGCCTTGTATATATAAACACATGCTAGATACCTCTCTTCCATATGGCTTCCAATGCAAATCTATTGGCAACATGATGTATAAATAATAGAAGAATCTAGGTAATCGCTTGATGAATGTACAGTTATTCTATACAAATAACTTTCTATTTGTTGTTCAAACATACAGTAACTCTCTCAACTACCCAGGGGTGTAATATTAAAATTTAAATCAGCCTTTCCAAGCCGGTAGCATACAATGGCACAAAGACCATCGTACACTATTCCTAGTTTTGTTCACACTCGCTGAGAATGCTGGGTGTTAGAATACTAGCAAATATGGATGCCATGCTGGGCAAGCTTTGCTCACATGTTGGGTAGAAAGTACAATCCTGTACATCACAATGAATCAGCAAATGCTATGTTTTCTATTGCTCCCTCCAAATGGTCATAAATTAAATTACAGTCAAAATATTTTTTCTAAAAAAAACATTGTGGTCAAAATCTTGCTAGATTTCTCCTGAGATTTTGAATAGTTTAGGAATTGAAGCAAGTCATCATATGATTGTATGCTGTATTTGAAGATGCCTGTGATCTATTATTAAATGGAGTTCAGATGCAAATGTGTATGAAAACCATTGTATTTTTATACTGATTTTGAAAGAGTTATTACAATGTCAAATATTTATATTTGAGAAGTTTCCTTTCTACTTTCAATTTTAGGCTGTTTCTAGACATGTATTTTAATGGATTCCCCATGTGTTTGCCCTTAGAGAGTTTACCAGCAACTGCATCATTCTAGTCTTAGAGTACAGGTAGCCTTCAACGTACGACCACAATTGACCCCAAAATTTATGTTGCTAAGTGAGATATTTGTTAAGTGAGTTTTGCCCCATTTTACGACCTTTCTTGCCACTGCCAAATCACTGCAATTATTAAATTAGTAGTATGGTTGTTAAGTGAATTTGGCTTCCACATTGACTTCTTGTCAGAAGGTCTGAAAAGGTGATCACATGACCCCAGGACACTGCAAAATATGAGTCAGTTGCCAAGTGTCTGAATTTTGACAATGGGGATGCTGCAACAACCATAAGTGTGAAAAATGCTCATAAGTCACTTTTTTTCAGTGATGTTGTAACTTTGAACGATCACTAAATGAAGTGCTATAAGTTGAGGACTATCTGTAATTGTTGTTAAATCAAAGGTGCCAGATTCAGTGTAGCAATACCAACATCACAAAATAAACAATAATGCAGTGTCAACCTTTGCATTATTTTGGAATATCTCTTTGGTTCAAGTATTTATGCCCAGTCACATCTCTGATCTAATGCTTCAACTGGTGCTTAGTAACTACATCTTTACATTTTAATAAGTAAATTCTGTCTGTGGCAATAGCATTTAGTGCCTTTTTAAGCACTGCATAATTATAATCTCTAGAATTTCCCTACTTTTACTATAGCATCTTCTAAATACAATTTCTCAAGCTTTTTTGCTATTTAAAAAAAAGAGAGAAAATTAA